TATATATATATATATATATATATATAAAATTTTGTATTTATTATTACTATCGTCAATTCAAACAGTGACCCCTGTCGCAATTAACATGTCAAACATGGTTATACACTGTAACTTATCTATTGCAGATAATATTTCAACATTATAAGTGTCACACAAAAGTAAATTCGTCGTGGCGCCACGGATAATTTCTGTAAAACCGGCGTGGCATACAACGTGTTAAAAATGTTTCGCAGCAGATTGTATGATGTAGAATGGCGAGCGTGTAATTAGCCACTTGCGCTGGAAAGACGTGTCACGCACGTCGTAATGCTTTTGTCACAGAATCGCCAACGACGTGGTATGTACGTCGTCGTGCGATTGTCACGGAAACAAAAACGACGCGCATGGCACGTCGAGTGGGATTGTTGTTTGCCAGAACACTTGTTTGCCAGAAAAAACTATTAAAAGTCCTAGGTCGAAAATAAATTAGTTTAGAAAATATAAATCTTCCTCCGATTTCTCTGGGGCATCGAACACTGTGCAACGCCTCCCAGTGAGTTACACTGGACCGTTCTGGTACACGCGTCGGTAAATTTTTCGCCAGCGCAAATGGGAAGCTAGGGAAGTTAGGGAAGCTTGAAAAACGGTGTAACTTTTCTTTCGAATAAAATGGACTTCGAATTAAATGGATTATTAGGACTAAATGACTTGAAGTTTGTTTCAGACGATAGAGGGACCGGTCTGCTAGGCGATTTTTTAATTTATGTTTTTTTATCCGAGCATATAGCGAAAATGTAAAAAGTGCATTTTGTAGATCTCGGTGACTTGTATGCATGTTGATGATTTCATCGAAATCGGTGGACGCATAGTCAAGTTACAGCCGTTAAAAGATGTAAAAGTTAGCTGTTTTTCGTGGAATCTTAATTGGAATCTTTAATTGATTATAACTCCTGTCAAGGTCAATCATTTTCGATGCAATTTTCGACACGCGTACAAGTTCTGCAAGATCTACAAAATGCATTGTTTCTTTTAATTTCGTTATAGGCTCAGATGAAAGAGTTCTTTTTTATATTTCTGTCACATTTCAAGTGATAGCAAAATTTAAAGAAAAGTATTATAGTCATTATCTAGTATACCAGTCCCTCTGTCATGTAAACAAAATTCAAGACGTTTAGTCCAGTTTTAAGGAACTTACACCGTCTTTCAAGTTTCCCTATTTATATGCTCGCCATTGTCTGTATTTTGGAAGAACCTTTTTAAAGGGTATGAATTCTTCTCTTACAAGTTTAAACAAAACACGCGTTTGAAAACACATCTCGTATAAACTTCTAATATATCCATAGCGAGAAAATCAGTTTACTATGCCAGGATCGTATCGCAAGCCACTCCTTTTCCGTGAGTGCTTTCAACGGGGTGGCTTCCTTTTTGCTTTTTACGAGCCGCGCGAGTTTATCCCATTTCCTCGAAACTACAATGCTCGGCATTCAATAGTCGCTCCTCATTACGAAATCGGTGAATATCTAGCATTGTTGTCCACTTATAATACCCATCGCCGTTATTTTAACGGCGGAGGTTTCGTCGATCGTCGCAGCCAGCTCGCGAAAAGAAATTTCTATTGTTTTGGAATTTTAATCGACCCGATTTAGAACGAAATTAGCGTCCCATATTCGCCCGAATATTTGGCTATTAGATTATCGGTGTGTAGTCCTTTGTGAGTTGACTGTAAATAACACGCGCACGTATTCACCGTTGTAATTTACGCGCTTCGTACGCTTCGTTCTAAATTGATTCGTGACGCCGAACGCCGCGCTTGGCGTTGACCACTTCGCGTCCCGCTAAAATCGGCTTCTAACTCGGTTATTTTTGCGAATTCGATCTCGGACGTTTATCGGCACATTTTGCAAACATTCGATTACCTTGTCGAGCGATAGTTTCACGTGGAAGGGCTGATGAAGCCATTCGACGCTTTCGAAAAATAGATTTGATAGCAAAAAAGAAAAGTTAAACTCACATTAGCCCTCAAACGACCAGAAGGGTCCATGGGACTCAGTTTAATAATGCAGCTTATATAAAAATGAAATGTGGAACATGTTTTAAAAATAAAGTAAAATCGATACTACGTGAAACATTTATAAAGTGAATTAATGTGCTAGTTTTAATAAAAATGTAATCGACAAATCTATTACTCCTTTTTTCAACTATTTTCCATGTATTAATCCATTTCATTTTTAATATTATTATATCCACTGTTCTGCGTCTTTTCAATGTATGCAATAGTATGCATTTTTTCAATTTCGCGTATATGAAAAATATGTTCAGCAATCATAGCGATCGATTTCATTCGACATCTTTCGTTATAGCTGCCATATAAAGTACATACTTATAT